TGTGTGTGTGTGTGTGTGTGTGTGTGTGTGTGTGTGTGTGTGTGTGTGAGAGAGAGAGAGAGAGAGAGAGAGAGAGAGAGAGAGAGAGAGAGAGAGAGAAACACAGAGAGAGACAGAGAGAACAAGTAGGGTTGTCGCACTCCTTTAATCCCAGCACTCAGGAATCGTGCGGATCAATATGAGTTCAAGGGTAGCCTGGTCTATGTTGTGAATTCAGGCCAGCCAGGGCTAACACAATGAGATCCTGTCTCAAATAAATAAGCCAAGAAATTGGCTAAAATCATTGGGGGGTGGGGGGCTGGAGAGATGGCTCAGCGGTTAAGACTGTTATTGCTCTTACAGACAACCTGAGTCAGCTCCCAGCCCCACTGGAAACTCACCCACCTGTAACTCCAGCTTCAGTTGGTCCAGTGCCTCTTATTGCTCTGTGTGCATCTGCACTCATGCAGCGACCATCCTTCCACATATACACTCAACAACCCCCCACATATACACATACACACTCAACAACCCCCTATACACATACACACTCGACAACCCCCTATATACACACACACTCAACAACCCCCCACATACACACATATACACTCAACAACTCCTCACATAAACACATACACACTCAACAACCCCCTACATACACACATACACATTCAACAACACCCACATACACACTCAACAACCCCCCCACATACACATAATTTAAAAATAATAAAGACAGTAAGCATTTTTAAAAATTAAACAGGTTGGGCATGTATAGTGTACGCCTTTGATCCCAGCACTAGGGATGCAGAGGCAGAGGCAGACGGTCTCTGAATATGAGTCAGCCTGGTCTACATAGCAAGTTCCAGCACTCAGGAGGCAGAGGCAGGCAGATCTCAGAGTTGGGGCCAGCCTGATCTAAAGTGAGTCAGGCAGGGTTACATACATATGGTAATAAATTAATAATAGGTAGTAAATTAATAATATCCATATGAAACCTGCCCTTGTTCAAGGGTCACAAATCTGCAATGTTTCTTCCAAAAGATGTATCGAAAGCTAGTTAGTAGGACCCACATTCACCAGAGATGGCTCCGTGGGTAAAGACCCTTGCTCTGCAAAGCCCAGTGACTTCAGTCCCATCCCCAGAATCCGGGGTCATTCGTAGAGGTGACTTTCCTCACGATGCCCTACACAGGGATGACAGCAAGGGACACGCTCATGTACACACTGGCTTGTCTGATCAGGATGAGGTCTTGGTGTGTTCATGCTGCCCTGAAGCTGGGCCGTCTTAAAGCAAAGGAAAAGCTGGCTATGATCCATGAGTGTAACGCACTTCCTTTCAAATGGAAGGACAGTGGGCAGTTTGTCCTTGTGCTCCCTGCCCTGGAGCCATGTCCCAAGGTTAACATGGTGACAAGAGTAGCCAGCTGGTTCCGGAGGGTATGTCAGGAACATGGGGGGTCCCCTCCTCATTTGCTGGGGTGTAGCTGGGACAGACACTGGACCCGGTCCTTGGAATGGACTATGCTACTCTAATATTCTTCTGAAAAATGGCCCTACCTTTTCTGGGGTCTTTTCCTTGCCTGTCTAGGTCCTAGAGGACACGGAATTCTCTTTCTCTCCACAGGTCTTGGCGGAGGATTCGGCTATGTGGTCGGAGGCATCCACTGGGACAAAACCGGCTTCGGGAGGGCCCTGGGGGGTCAACTCCGTGTCATCTATATCTTCACTGCCATCACCCTGAGCGTCACCACTGTGCTCACCCTGATTAGCATCCCTGAGAGGCCCCTGCGGCCCCTGGGTGAGAAGAGGACAGCCATGAAGAGCCCCAGCCTCCCGTTGCCCCCCTCCCCGCCTGTCCTGTTGGAGGAGGGGGCCGGTGACACCCTCCCCTCTACTACAGCCCCCAACCTGTATGCCAGCTTCTCCAGCCCCATCTCACCACCCAGCCCCCTCACGCCCAAGTACGGCAGCTTCATCAGCAGGGACAACTCCCTCACGGGCATCAACGAGTTCGCCTCCTCCTTTGGCACCTCCAACATAGACAGCGTGCTCATTGACTGCTTCACGGCGGGCCATGACAACTACCTGGCTCTCCCCAGCAGTGTCCCCAGGCAGGCCATCAGTGTCAGTTTTCCCCGGGTCCCCGATGGCTTCTACTGCCAGGAGAGGGGGCTGCTGGAGAGGAGAGAGGGGGCCCTGACGTTGGGCTCGGATGGAGATGTTCTAAGGGTAGGCTCTCTGGACACCTCCAAACCACGGGCCTCAGGGATCCTGAAGAGGCCCCAGACCTTGGCTCTCCCAGATGTGGCTGGGGGAAATGGTCCTGAAGCCAGCAGGAGAAGGAACGTGACCTTCAGTCAGCAGGTAAAAGCAACGAGATGTCAAGGGGGAGGCATGGACCCGACGGACTGTCCATAGTGATGGTCAGAGGGTGGGGGGGGGGGGTGCAGCCTCAGAGATGACTTCCTTTGCATGTGGGTATGTCACTTTGGGATGTCTGAGTCCCGGATGGGGGACGTGCCCAGAGGTCCAGATGCAGAGGGTGACCCAGGACCTGCCCAGCATTTCAGCCCATTGTCTCTAGAGGCAGTGTTTTCTAGCTGCACAGATCAAGGGTTGGTCTTCATCCAGGTAGCTTCTCTGACCCTTTGTCAATTGGAACGTCCTGTTTCACAGCACTCAGGTGGCTGCTGGATTCAGGTCTTAGCTTGAGGCTCCCAGCATTCCCCTTTTCCTGTCCCTTCCCAGCTTCCATTCTGTCAACAATGGTTAGGGCGTAAGTTCTTTGGAAACAGTAAAAATGGGGCTGGAGAGTCAACTCAGCTGTTGAGAGCACGGGATGCTCTTCCAGAGGTTCCGGGTTCAGTTCCCAGCACCCACGTGGTGGCTCACAACTGTCTGTAATTCCAGTGGCGGGGGATCTGACACCCACACAGATATACGTGCAGGCAAAACACCAATGCACATAAAATGGTAAAAATGTGGGCGGAAGGCTGGGACAGTCCGTCAGTTGGTTGGGAGCTTGTCTGGCATGGACGGAGCATTAGTCCTGTCTTCTCCCCATACACAGGTGTGCAGGTGCACGTGTGACCCCAGCACCTGGGAAGTTAATGAGACCCTATTTTCAAAGAGAAAAAAGAAGTTGAGCTAAATAGGAACACATCTAGGTGTGTGTGTGTGAGAGAGAGAGAGAGAGAGAGAGAGAGAGAGAGAGAGAGAGAGAGAGAG